AGTAGATTTCCTATCTACAGGCTTCCAGCCCAATCTGCATCAGTGTAGCCAACAAGTTCCGTGTGACCATTATTTTTCATTAGAATTCCCTTTCCAGGCGTGGCCTTCAAATACCGTAGCAGATGATTTGTTAGCTCCATATGCCCTTGAGTTGGTTTTTGCATAAATTGACTTACATTACTAACAGTATATCCTATACCACGTCTAGTGATAGTCAGATATATCAACCGTCCAACAAGCCGCTGAAATTGCCCAACATCATGTAATGGATTGTCGTCTGAAATGAACTTACTATTATACTCCATAGGAATGTTGGCCGATTTAACTCCCAACTTCCCAGTCTCCTTCCGCAAATCCATAACATATTTTCTCTGAGATAAGAATAATCTTTTATGAGAACTCGCCACCTCAATACCCAAAAAATATCTCAATCTGCCAAGGTCTTTGATATCAAATTCCTTGCTCGCTTAAGTGCTTCGATTCTAGGTTGATTGCTGCCTGTAATCACAATATCATCAACATAAACAAGCACAACAACTATACCTTTGTCATCAACCTTGGTGAACATTCAAGAGTCTGCTGCCTCTCTTTTGAATCCAACCTTGATGAGCGCAGCAGTCAGTTTACCATACCAAGCTCTGGGTGATTGCTTGAGACCGTATATGGCCTTCTTCAACCTGCAAACAATTCCATCTTTATTCTGCAAGGGGTGACCAGGAGGAAGATCCATATAAACCTCCTCCTCCAAATCTCCATGAAGAAATGCGTTCTTTACATCCATTTAGAACAAGGACCATCCACAATTAACAGCTACAGACATAAGAACACGCACAGTGTTCATTTTAACCATAGGTGCAAAGGTCTCTTTGTAGTCTATACCATACGTTTGAGTGTATCCTTTTGCAACCAGCCTCGCTTTATACCTTTCAACTGATCCGTCGCTATTGTATTTGATCTTATAGATCCATCGGCAACCAACTGTCTTCTTCCCTCTTGGAAGTTGTACCAGTTTCCAAGTATGATTTCGATCCAAAGCCTGAAGTTCATCATTCATTGCACCAATGAAGATGGCTTTTTCCCTTGCTTCCTCATAGTTGTGAGGTTCCTGTTGTTCTTCAATGGCAAATAAGAAACTCAAAAAATTGTGAAAAATTTTGTAATAGCCAGCAAATTCTTGAATAGGATGTTGAGCTGAATAATAAGTAGTAAAATCGCGAAGACGAGTTGAGGGTCTAGTGACACGAGATGACTTTGGTAACGGGATTGCATCCGCTGCGCTTTCATCTGTCAGCCCCTTGGTGGCAATTCCAGTTTCAACTTCTGGAATAGCAACTGCCTCAATCTCTCGGTCCACTTCTGAATTTTCTTGATCTGCATATTCGTGACCCGAAGCATTTTGTTCTGCAAATTCGTGACCCGAAGCACAGCTCCCATTGTTGACTTCGACGTCCCCATTGCTAACTTCGGCTTCACCGGTCCCATTAACATCCACAGGGATAGGAGCAAATTCATAGGAAAACTGCTTATAATAATCTGTGCACTCCCCCTAAACGTGACTCTTGTTAGAAAAAAAACATATGAGTTTCATCAAATACAACATCCCGAGAAATATAGACACGCTTTGTGCAAGGGTCATGACACTTGTAGCCTAATAGGATTTAGGCAAATTCCCCGAGAATAACAAGGCCCGAGTGACCTCCAGTAGGTGATGATTCTTCCTTTTAGCTACCCCATTCTATTGTGGAGTACCCATACATGATGTCTCGTGAGTAATACCCTAAAATGTCTAATTAGTGTATTCGGTACCATTGTCAGTACGAAGAACCTTCACAGAAGTATTAAACTGATTAGTCACTTTATTGCAAAAATCCTGGAAAACTGTAAGTACTTCACTTTTGTACTTAAGAAGGTAAAGCCAGGTAGCTCTCAATTTATCATCAATAAAGGTAACGAAATACCGAAAACCCTCTCTAGAATCAATAGGGGAATATCCCCAAACGTCTAAATGTACCAAAGCAAACAATTCAGTTGATTTATGCAAATGTTTAGGGAAAGGCAACCTATGTTGCTTTGCAAAGTGACATGGATCACAACTACTAGAATCATGAGTCAAAGACATGTCTAAGGACTGCAACACCCGATCTGAAGGATGACCCATGCGCCAATGCCATGGACGAGAGGTATCCATAGCCCCTTTCCTAGCCACTAACGCTTCGCCATGCAAATCTAAGGTGTACAACCCATCCCCATGCAAATCTAAGGTGTACAACCCACCCGAAGTTGTCCTTCACCAATCATCCTCCTGGTACTGCAATCCTGAAACAACACCTTCTGTGGAGTAAAAATGACATTACAATTCCACTGTTTAGTACATTTGCTCACAGATATTAAATTAGAAGATAATCTCAGAACCAATAAAGCCTCACTTTTTTTTCGAAAGCCAGTTGCCCCACACCTTAGGTTGGTACTTCTACTCCGTTAGCCATTGTGATCGGTGGACATGAAGAGCTAGAAGATGTATTAGATAAAATATGTGGAGAACTACATACATATGGTATGTAGCACCAGAATCAACAATAAATCGATTTCTAGAATTAATAGAAAGTGCACAAATATTACCAGAAGTCTTGGCCAAATTTTCGGATTCAGTGCCAGAGGAACCCGAACCGTGTGTCTGAAGTAGCTGCTGAACGTGCAGCGCTAGGGACTCCAACTTGGATTGGAAGTCTGTGGTATTTTCTTGAATTGCTATCTTAGCGTCCGGACCCTTGTCCTTATTTGGACGCAATTGAGGATGTAAAATCCAACATCGTTTCTTGGAATGCCCATGTCGATCACAATGATCACAATGAAAACGAATGACCTTCTTTCTTTCCCCTTGACAAACCGAGTACCAACATCACTTTGCCTGGCATTGGAACTAACAGTGTTTGCCGAGTGCTCCAATGAGCCTGCTGATGGTGTCACAGTCGAGTCAGAATGCATGACTCTCCTCCTTGTTTTTTCACTCTGTATTATGGAGCACATGGTATTAAAGGACGGCAATTGCGGCCTCATAAGAATGTCACGTTTGGTGTCTTCAAACTCAGGCCTTAGGCTTGCCAAGAGATAGAAAATTCTATCTTGTTCTTGCCTTTGCACATAGTCACGCACATTCTGGGTTGCAAGTCTGTACTGACGGAGTTCATCCCATTGTTTCTTCATGCTCCCCAGATGTTCTGTGAATGACTGATTTGCACCTTGCTTGGAGTTAGCAAGACCTTGTTGAAGCTCAAAAATTCGAGATGCATTATTGATTTGACCATACATCTCAGACAACGAATCCCACAATGTTTTGGCCGAATCTGAGTAAGTAAAAATCTCATAGATTTTAGGCTCCATTGAGTTGAAGATCCAAGTCATAACATCGTGATCGCTTGCTTGCCATTCTTCAAACTTTGGATGAGTTTCATCGGGGGCTTTAGTTTGCCTAGTAATATGTCCAAGCCTCGATCAACCTCCAAGCGCGATGGTCACTGCTCGCGACCAATGGAGAAAATTCCTTCCATTCAGCAAAATAGATGTAAGACGTTGGCTGTTTCCCTCATTCACCAAAGCCTTCGTTGATTCTGATCCAGAGCCCGCACTCGTGTCGGGAAGTTTTCCATATTCTAATTTCGAATTTGTCACGGTGCCCACCTAGAGATTGCAACAGCCCACGTTGAACGCTTGTTTTCTGGTGAGATAAGGACAACAAAGAAAAACAGCAAACCCAATAGCCGAAGCCAAAAGAGGACGTGGACAGGACGAGTTCTTCAAATAATTAGGATCATAACCCGCTCTGATACCATGTAGAAAATCAAACAATCGCACAAATACACAAAAGTTTAATGAGGTTCGGTAATGTGCCTACGTCCTCGGACAAAAAACTCTCATTCTCTTTTGCTATTCTGTTGTGTAGTACCTGATATAGCTAGCAAGAATCACCTAGAGAGGGTGAATAGGTGATCTAAAACTTTTGATCAATTTTTAAAGCAGAAACAAATGATCAAGATTAAAGTCTAAAAGACATTCAGATTCTAAGCAGACTTTATAGCCAATGTGCTAGTGTGCAATATAAAAAATAGAATAAGAGTTTAGGGATAGAAAAACGGCACGCAAGAAATTATAGTGGTTCGGCTTAAATCAACCTTACGTCTACTCTCTCACGCTGACAGCCTACTGGCTGGATTTCACTATGTGATCGAAAGAGTTTACAATTTCTGAGCGATATCACTCTATAAATGATAGAACTCTCTATCTCACATAATCACTCTTACAAAATGTTCCTCATGATCTCAGTGTTTGGCTAAGAAATGACAAGTAGTAGAATCGGAATATGCTCAGACTTTGGACTTGTAGATTCTAAACTTCGTTTTTCCCTTCTGCTCCTCGTTAATCTTCTTTGATACTCCTCCACTTCCAAACTAGCCGTTGGACAGTCTTCAGAGGATCATCTTCCAATCTTCAACTTGGACAGATTTGTATAAAATCAATCAAGTAGCGGTTGGTTGACAAAATCTGAATCCCGCTGAATCTGGCTGCCCATACAACCAGAATATTGGTTTCCATAAGTAGAGTTTTATCTGTTATGAGATATACTTGCCTTAATGTTTGATTGTCAATCGATTTAGGACAATTTTGCATTATAAACTTTCCTTGCAAAATAGCCTTTTAAGATCTAATTAATTAAAACTTTTCTTCTGTGAAATCCATGCTAGATCACTAGCCGTTATGTACGTTCTGAGTAGTTTCAGAATCTGGATAACTTTTGGTTCTTGCTTCACATCCAGAACTCAAGTTAGTATGGGTATTTAGAAAGGTCTGAACCTTTTAGAAGTAAAGTCTGAAGTTCTTCATCTACTTAATATAAAGTCTGAATGACTTTTGCAGTAAAGTCTGAATTCTTCCTTCTGGTCTTCGTAAAGTCTGAGTGTCCAGAAAATCTAATTCTCTCAAAATATTGGAATTGACATTAACAATGTTGTCAATTTCAAAATCTATTAGGAAGTTTCCTTAACAGTACCATCTGCCATTGTTCAACCATATATACAGGAAAGATTGCTACAACAAAGGAAACAAGCAACCAAAAATAGGAAGATCACCAGAAAAAGGGAAGACAACCCAGAATTATAGGAATACAATATTAACAAATCTCCTTTCCTAAGATAGGAGAGAAAATCACGCCAACAGTTCCCTTATATATCCTCCAGTACAATGGCTTCAAATGACATAAGAATGCTTCTCTCTTGGTTTTCCACACTATTATAGATTCTGCGTCTCCGATGTTAGAAGATTACAGAATGGTTTGGACTTTTTTAGAGATGTTAGGCATATCAACCGTCTTTTATCAATAATTAATTGACCCTCCTACAGTTCTTCCTGATCTCGCCGTTGGACCCGGTGAGGGGCTTGATGTCGCCCATATTGATCATGGAGGTCACGAAGTCCTTGAAGAAGGTGCCTTGGCTTTTGGCGTAAGTCCTGACGAGTGAGTCGGTGGACCCGCCGTTGAAGAGCTGTTGGTCAGAGTGAAGGAGGCCTCGTTTCTTGACGAGGTTGACGTAGTAGTTGTTGTCGAACGATGTCGCGCTCTGGAAGTCGAGGCCGGCCAGGTTGTTATCGCCAACGCCGGTCATGCGTGGGCAGTTGCTCTTCGTCGTTCGGGCAAATGAGCTGTCGATGTTGCTCTCGTTGTAGATCCTGGCCCGGAAGTTTGTGCATCTCGCTTGCCCAATTGTGTGTGCTCCTGCGTATTTAAGATCAAGAGAACATACAAACAAGTATTAATTAGAGTAGTTTGGATCTTATAAAATTCTAAGGGTGATGAGGGGGAACCAATTAAAGTGTAGAATTGAATTAACATTTCTGTGTTCTTTAGCAGGACCGGTGTGAATCTCATAAATTCTTGAAATGTGATCAACTTGATTTAATAGATTTGGTTTGTGGAGTAGTTGCTGGTACGAAATCATTTCCTCATGGATTTTTGCAAATTATCAATTTTTCTCGTGAGAGAGAGAGAGAGAGGAAATTCACCGTATAGTGCGACGAGGTCCTTTTGAGAAAGGCCGTGATTTTGGAAGCTGGAAATGAGAGCGTTGAGGTTATTAGTTGGAGGAGGAATGCTGTTATTAGCTGCCGCCTGACTCGCAGTTCTCGCATCTCTCCTTCCCAGCTTCACATGCCACCCTGGCCCCCCCAGCTGCCCAATTCATACGCAACAAATTATTACTCATGCAAAATAATCAGAAGCTTTCGTCTCTTCTATTCCATTCCGAGTTAAGTTCCAATGACTTACTATCTTAACGGAGTCTCGGGCGATGATCGCCAACAAATCAGCACATGAGACGACGCCAGGGCATACTTTCTCCACCGCGGACTTAATCTTGTCCACCACATCGAACCCTCGCAAGGAATTTTGGTTTGGGGTCGCATTCTTCTCTCCAGTGAAAGTAGGTGTGTCGTCCAAGAGGTTCGATCCGTCGCAACCCTGATAAATAAACCATGAATATTGAATAGGCAATGACTTTGATTTGTTGTTTAATGAGCCAAACTCTTTCGTAGCTATGAGCATCAACGACATTTTCAAATGACCATATTACAATACCCAGCCAATAAAACTATGCTTTTAAATTTAGCAAATATGAACTTGAATTGACTTCAGTGCAGCATCTTACTTCATGATGGCTTACCAGGTCAAAGGGCATTCTTTTGTTTTTGCATGGAATACGTACCTTACAAATGACAAACTAGGTCAAGTGTTTCTTTTTACGTATTTGCATTGGACACCGGACAAGACAACCCGACACCATACTTTTGTTTGATTTATTCTTTTCTCTGAATATGTTGAATTCTCGCTTAAGGATGACAAAAAGAAAGATTTAGCAAATTGCTAGACGACGATGAAAAAGAGAGAGTGTTGCCTAGGCTTGGCCGATGCAAGAAATTACACCTCGAGAACATGTTGCTGGGGGGTTTTGTTGACGAATGAATGGACCAAAAAACTCGTAGGACACATACACAGATGATTAAAGGAGCATGTGCGAATTGGTCTTCAATATCGGCAAAGAATGTTGAGAAGTTAAAGTGGATGAGAATGAGAAGTTACATTGACGAAGCAATCGTGGAAGAACAAGCGGGTGAGCGAGGCACCCATGCGGGTCTCTTTGGCAATCGCTGCCTGCACGGTTTTCTTCACCGTCGGGAAGAGCTTGGGGCAAGTTTTGGCGTAAAAGTCAGTCGAAAGCTGAGCAGTCGTGCAGCCAGTAAGGAGCACAACGCAAGCCAAAGTCAAAATGGCCTTTGAAAACAAGGAAGACGAGGCCATTTTCAGCACACTCATAACGAACCGTGCTGTGTGTCTGATGAAGAAATGACTCGATACGAGGGGGATTATATAGAGAGCGGTTCTCAAGGCGACAAGGTTTTCAGCGGGTGACCTAATACGAAGACCCATGAAAGTGCATGCCAACTGTAGGTTCAGAAAGATGAGAATATAATAGGGAAAATACCGCCAAAAACCCTAAACTATGCCACTTACGGTAAATTTACCCTGAACTTTTTTTTGTGACACGAAAAATCCCAAACTATGTCACTTGTGACAAATTTACCCTTAACTTTTTTTTGTGACACGAAAAACTCAAAACTATGACACTTGCGACACATTTACCCCACAATAATTTGGCCCGTGGGCATTTTCGTCTTTTTCCTTTTTCTGTTTTTTTTCCTTTTTTTTTTCTTTTCTTCTCTCTTCCCTTCGCCGGCCACGGCGGAGGGAAGCCGGCAAGGGCGGCCCTCACCGGCGCTGGGGTTGGGCGAGGGCTACCTTCGCCCAACGCCGGCGAGGGCGATTCTCGCCCGCCCAGGCGAGGGTCGCCCTTGCCAGATCCGGCGAGGCTCGCCCTCACCCTCCCAGACGAGGGCGACTCTCGCCCGACGCCGGCGAGGCTCGCCCGACGCCCGACTCAGGCGAGGGCAACCCTTGTTGGATCTGGCGAGGGCGACCCTCACCGACGTCGAGCAAGGGCAGCCCTCGCTCGACGCCTGCGAGGGTCGCCCTCACCGAATCCGGCGTCGAGCGATGGCAACCCTCGCCCAACCACAGCGTCGGCGAGGGCCACCCTCGCCAGCTTCCCTCCGCCATGGCCGGCAGAGGGAAGAGAGAAGAAAAGAAAAAAAAAAGGAAAAAAATAACAGAAAAAGGAAAAAGACGAAAATGCTTATGGACCAAAGTATTGTGGGGTAAATGTGTCACAAGTGGCATAGTTTGGGGTTTTTCGTATCACAAAAAAAGGTTCAGGGTAAATTTATCATAAGTGGCATAGTTTGAGGTTTTTCGTATTACAAAAAAAAGTTCAGGTTAAATTTGTTACAAGTGGCATAGTTCAAGATTTTTGGTGGTATTTTCCCAATATAATATGAGAGGATTAGGCACCAAAGATGATGATGATATGGTACCAATCTCTAAAGAAGTAGGCGGAACGCGGCTTTCTTTGAAAAAGTGACGTTTACATGCCAAAAGGGTGTGATAATTTAAACGGATTTGGTGGATAATTTTGTCAAAAAGGTCTCCGTGGGTAGTTTTAATGTTTTTGTCGAAATGTCGGGATCCATAAATCGGAGTCATCCATGATAATGTCGCGTGGTCTACACATGAATAGGAAATCGAAACTTGCTTCTGACCCTGAGCCTATGTACAGCTTTTGGCAACTCAAAAGTACTTGAAACTTGTCTCACATATACCATCTAACTAGAATTTGTTGGGGAGTGGCCGATAGTCCCCTTTGACAGAAAAATACGAGGGTCCCACTAATGTTACCTATACATTTATTCTCTTGAACCCATGAATAGCTATTGTTACCTATATATATATATATATAATTGAGGAATATAAGAGAAGTGTGAGGTGCTAATTATAGTGGAATCCACTGCTGGACATAGTCTTAGTTTAAGGATAAATCATGATAAACATCTTGTGTCTCGATTTTCTTTTCTCGCTTTTACTCTCTATTTCCTTGTGATTATGCGCCTAATCCTAACAGAATTAAGAAATAATAGAGTCAATCATTTACCGGGGACTCGTTTTTTTATAACTGCTGTTTCTAGGAGAAGCAGATGCCTAATATAGATAAGAGAATGGATCGATAAAGTTCGAATTTTGACAATTTCTCTTATTGGTGTCATTAATCCTCAATTTGAGAATCTTATTTTTGGGTGTAAGGCCTATCTTTCCATGAGATATATTGATACATAATAATGGTCAAATATTGATGAAGGATCATCTCAAGAGGTTTCATACTATGCAAATAGTTAGTGTCAAACTTTTTGGCGGCTTAGTTCGTCTCTACTCGCACAATTATGGGTCAAAATCTCTTTAGATTTCTAAGAGGCGTAGCATGCTTCAATACGGTCAAATAACATGTATGGCTGGATAGCTCCGTGTGTCTAGTCTTAGATGCATAAAATTTTATGCAATTCACAGTTTTCTAGAGAAGGTTCCATGCCCTGTCAGTTTGATATACGAGGATGACGGGCTTCTCGAATGCGTTCCTTATTTTAACGTGTCGACGCCCACACGCCATGTTCCTCCAATTCCTCCTATATGTTTGTCTTCTCTAGGAAAAGGGAATATCCTTTGGATGTTTTACATCTCGATGATCTCGAGATCCGGACGTTGATCAAGATAAAGCCTTTTAGGGATTTGCTTAAGTTCTATGCACTAGATACTAGGCGACGGTAAGAAAAATGAAGATGTGAGTTTTTAGTCATCCAACGTGTTTATTAAGTCCAATGCATCGTATTTTGCTTCTAAATCAATAGTACATGTTAGTATTTATGTTTTATCTGGGTATAGTTAGCCCTAGTCTTGGAAAGTCAAAAGGTTGATGTCTTGAAATTCCCATCTACTTAAAGGGTTGTTCCGATTTGTTTCTATATAAATTTTTCTAAGGTTTCCTTAAGGGTTACTTCTGTGTATATTTACCTTTTATCTTATGGTAGACCTTTTTTAGGTGGTGAGGGTTTCCTTTATGTAAAGTATTCAATTATCAATTCTTCGACTACCCTTATTTACATGAATATTCAATAACTTGGATGGATGAGGGCACGGAACGGACCAATACGGAATGTTCCTTGCAGTACCAGTTCTGCTAGATAGATGTGTTTGACCTTTTGTAAAGTACCGTTCGTTCACCAGCTTGCATCCTTCCATAAAGTACAGATATGCCGGCACAAGAATGTCTGGTATGACGGAAACATTGGATCAATTTTATTTATAGGCGATGGACACATTTGACGTCAACCGCCAACCGCATCGGATGCTAGTTGCAAGTTAAAAGCACAAGCGAATAAATCACACTTCAATTATGTAAAAGGGAAATAACTGAGACACTACATTAATCTTGCGTGAATCCTGTGCTGTGATTGATTTCATCGATTGTGCACATATGCCATAACGAATAAATCGACCAAGATTCACTAAGTTGATTGGCCGATGGGTTCTCAAGTTTCATAAATACTTTCTACACATCATGCCTGCATGAAACTGTTCTAAAGCCGCCCGAGAAGCTTCTTTGTTTGTCCAACCGGGATTTTGAAGAGCAGAAACTGCAGTGATTTGTGGGGGAGTTGTTGAAACGATTGTGACTCCGTCGTCTATCGAATTACTACTTAAGTCAACAAGCTTATGCATTTTCATTGCTTTCTTTGTCTCGATGTCATCGTCCGGAGCACTTGAGTTTAGAAAACATGAGGCCTGCATAGACAACATTTCTTGACTATTTAGTATTTATATACCGGTTCTCTTTGACGGTATGACCCTCCTCATCGATCTGGAAGGGTTGATTTAGTAGATTTAAGACTAAGTTTTCATTTCACACGTGAGTTTTCTTCATATTTTTGCTGAGCTGACAAGCATGATGCATGACTCTATGGCAAGCAAAACCAAAACTTCATACTCTTGACCATATCAAAGATTGTAAGTTTTGTTCATTCGGTCAATAAGGCGTTCCGAGGAGTTTGTCGATCAAGGAAGCAAGCCACTAGCAATCAAGGTAGGGTAGTTCCCACTACGTACGAGTACGCACGCTGGCAAGGGTTAATCCTACATTTATAAGATGGATCTTCTACTCATGGAATGTGGAAGAAAATCATGCACGTATGATCGTAAGTTTATAGGTTATATAAATAAAAATTAGTAAATTGTATACAAATTGGCAATTTGCTAACTATAAAAAAGATTTGGCAATTTCACAAAAGTGTTGGTAAATTACCTACATCTTACCTTGAAAAAAGAGCCACCGTTCATTTCTTTTATTAATGGTTTTAATTAACAGTGAACGGAAAATTATAACTCTTCCAATTTAATAGTAGCTGATGGGGATTTCGTACCATTATTGCTTGTTGTTATTATAATATTAAATATCACTTTCGTAGGCCATAAGGGAAGAAAGAACTTTGTGGTTTTTCACCATGTGAAGGAATCTAGAAACTGGCCCGAAAGGCATGTTCTACTTGTCAAATAATAGTTGAAAAAAGAAAATTTCTGAATAGGGGCCCTCGCATTAATGTCTGCAAGGACATTAAGTTATGCTATTCGATTCTCGTTTTGCTAACGGGACATGATCATTGACTCATGGCTAAGTTTTGAAATTGCGTCAACATGTTTAGGTAATGAGAGCTATTCAAAATCTGATCATGGACATGGAATAGCGCCTGTAATCGAGTGTTGATTTGGTTCGAATCCTCGCATGTGGAACAATGTTCAAATTGTATGATTGGTTCAAGATCAATTTGACTTCCTCAATTTATGTTTTGCCTCCATGTCAAGGAACATTGAAACGTCTCCTTCTAACATGTCACCATCACCCTTTGTTTTAGCACAAATGATTGAGTCACGAAACCATGTCTTCCTCTACAATGTAAGAGAAAGAGTCTAAATCTTCTTTGCTATATAAGTCACAAAACAATTTGATGGTAAATCTAACAAGCAATCTTATCCCAAAATGGTTGATTAGGGTCTTATAGGTGACATCCTTAGGCATCATGACATACCTTTAAGTAAGTATGGGGCTGTTGATATGGGATATTGGGGGTCATTGATAATCAAACTCTCTAACTAGCATGCCACGATATTATTAGATTTGTGCATTACAAAAATTACGTGATTCATCACTATTGTGAGAGCTAATTATCTCGAGAGAATTTTCAAATAAAGACCTTAAATGGAGCCAATTTCTCAAAAGATGGCTCAAAGCGGACCATGTATCAAATTAGGACCTGAAATGGAGCAGTTTTCTGAAAAGATAACCCCGAGTAGACCTTGTCTCAAATAACGACTTGAATTGGCTAACTTAGTCTCAAGTGAGGGCCTAAAGTAGACTTCATCCAATGTTGCTTGTTCTGTTCCTAATTTTCTTTCTTTTCTTTTAGTGATAAGTATCTTAAAAGTTCTAAAACTTA